GCTCTGGCACTAGGATAAATTCCAGTAGGAAACACCAGATCCAATTTTTAACAGCTAGTCACTTCTGTTAGAAAAATGTTTCACAGAGTGGTGAAAACAATTTTTAGAGGCAGATCATCAGTGAGAATACTCAAGAACCACATGCAGCTCTCATGCAAAAGCAGGTGGCTTGGTGATATCACAGGAGCCCATCCCCAGGGCTAACGGTAGGGACTAAAACATTCACAGAAGCAGCTTCCCAGGACATTCAGGCCACAGGGACCTCTACATAGTCTAAGGTAGTTGAGTCCTGAAGCTTAGGACTAGGCTTAGGGGATGTAGAGCCTGTCAGTTGTCTCTGCTCCTCTCCCCACTCCTGGAGCACGGCCAAGGGGAGAACTCTGCTGCCCACAAAGGGCCATTTCCATCTCCCCACTCCCCAGCCTCAGAGGAGCTACAGTTGGCTTGGTCAGACATTCACCAGCTACCCTTTGGGGCTGTAGGAGGTGGACTGAAAGCTGCTGCACTCTGTGAGCCCACTTCAACACTGTCTTGATGAAGGTAGGGGAGAGGCAGGAGCTGACCAGAGACCAGAGAGAAGAAACAGAAGAGGAAGTCATGCTCCAGCCTGACCTGGCTATTGGCCCCCACTCACCTTTACCAGAAAGGCCCTGTCTGGAGGCTATCCAGAAGGTGGTCCATGGTTTCCTGGGAGGCTGTGTGCTCTGTGTGCTTGATGCTTCCATTAAGAATGCCAGAGAGCAGGAAGCAGGTGCAAGGGGCTTGGACACCCCACCAGTTCACCACCAATACTTCCCAGAACTGGCACTGGGGTCCAAGGGCCTGAGCCCTGCACATTCTATGCTCCTGAGGGCCAGAATCTTGCCCCGTCCTCCTGGCTCCCGGTCCTGCACACTTCCCACACCTTTGATGCCCCTCTGAGAACCACAGTCTCAGCACGCCATGGTGGTTGCACTGCTCTTCAATGGAACATTCCGCCATGGTGTAAATGTGGTCTTTATGGAGGTGAGGTTGGGGCACTCATGATGCTCTGGGCCTAGGCGCTGCTGAGTTAGTGTTGGCCTGGTGCTCTGGACAGAGCCGCCACTCAGAAGGAGAGCCAAGGTAAATACTGTCCGGGCGCTTGCCCTGTGCCAAGGGAAGCACTCTGCCCACTGCACATTGAAAATCCAGTTATGTTGACAAAAAAGATTTCCATTCTTTATTTCAGTGTATCTTTGTGGCCTCCACAGAAGATTTTTAAAACACAACTTGTGGAAAATATCTATTAGTAAATAACCTTATATTTAGTCCTGGAAATTTAAAAAAACAAACAGTAATTTGTGGCTGGGGGAGAGGGGACGAACAACTTTCAGGTCAGCCTTTATGTATCAAAGGGAATAAAGAGAGGATTTGCTGAGCACCTGCTCTGGCTGGACTCTGGAGTGTTCTGTGTTGGTGGCATCCTTAGGACAGCTAATGCTCTTTTCTCATTTTATAGAAGAAATTGTGGCTCTGAGGGTCAGTGAGAAATCTGCCCCAAGTCATCCTGTGAGTGGGTGAAGGAACCAAGATTTGAGCCGAGGCCACCGACTCGATACGCCAGGAGTTCTTTCCCTGGTGCCAAACCTCCTCAGCCATGGATTCCTTAATCAGAGTTGGATTGCCACCTGGCCTTCATCATGGGATTATCTGTACATAACAAGGACAATTCATCACTACATTGTCTTTGTCACAGTTCTAGACTTCTCACCAAAGCAGCCCGTTTTGACTAAGCCGTTGTAATAGAGCTTAATCATTTTCCAGCTGCCAATTTTTCAGTGCAGTCTATTTCTTGGACTAATTTTCACCCCCCATTTATGTGTTTTATCTTTCCCACTAGTGCCTTTAGTGTAAGGAAAGGAAACACATCTGAATGCAGGAGATTTGGTGTAAGTCTACAAAGTCTTCAGAGGGAAAATGGAGACATGGTTCTTGATGGAAGCTGACTGGTCCCAGAGCCATGGGAAGTGCAGGGACGTGGTTGTGCTCCAGGAGTGGGGAGAGGAGCAGAGGCAACTGACAGGTTCTCACATCCCCTAAGCTAGTCTTCCCCGCAAAAAAAGAAAGGAGAAAACAAAATGTCTATGTCATAAGACACTAAAATAGTTGAAAAATGGGTAAAAGACACCAAGAGACAGACATAAGGAAAAATCATCAAGAACAATTAAAAAAGAGATTGCACATCTTGATTGAGGTGAATTATGAATTTTTATTTTTTTAACCTGGCTGACTGGCAGGTTAAGAGAGTAAAAATTTAAGGAACAGTCCTCAGGACACAGAGACCCAAGTCTGGGCCCTGACCCTCAAGTACACTCTGGCTGGGGAAAAAGAAAATTGCTCTAGAGTGTGGGCGCTGGGCCACACAGACCATACAGCCTTCCCTGCCTCTTACTGGCCATGTGGCCTTATGGCTCCACTTTCCTAATCTGCAGAGTGGGGAGACTACTGCTGCCTCACAGGGGTGTCAGAGGATGAGGGGTGGAAGCACCCAGCAGGGCTTGTGTGGGAAATGCTCAGTACGTTGCTGCTACTGTTCTTACTTTATTGTTATTATTACAACTCAAGACAGGATTCTCCTAGAGGCAGGGGTTCATAACTGGGGCCTGCGGATCCGTCTGCCTTCCAAAATGGTTTACAGCACCGTGTAAGTCTGTGTGTTTTTCAGAAGAGAGAGTCTAGAGCTTTCCCAAATTCTTAAGGAATGGAGACCCTAAAACATTTTTAAACACCTGCTTTTTAAAAACAGCTCTTTGTCAGTGTGCCAAAGGCAATACTGCAACCATTGATGGTAGCCATTAAGACAGCGCAGGCTAAGTCACAGGCTGACCTGCCACCTTCCCAGTTACCTCCAAAGCCCCCATATATAGTGGTCCTTTAAGGACAGTCCCTCCATCTGGTGATCCCTAGAGCCTGGTGACTTGCTCTCAGTTATGCATGTTTGCAGGCTACTGCCAGATCTTTGGTCACTAGCACTGCCATCAAATGGCCTCTCTTGCGCTGCTGTCCTCAGGAAGAACTGGGAGCCCCCTACACCCACTGTGCTCTGCTCCAGCTGTCGGGGACAAACTCCCATTCTATGCCTCAGTCTCTGGGACTCAAGCCAAAAACAACCAAAAGGTTTCTCTCCTTCCTGAATGTTCTTCCTGGAGATCTAGGCCTCCCTTTCCCCAAGACAGATAGATACTAAGTGGGGCCACAGGCAGAAGGGGGCAACAGGGAGGGAAGGAGGGAACGAAGGGAGGCAGGAAGGAAAGGAGTGAGCCCATCCCCTATGTGGGGAGAGGGCTGGGAAAGAGGCAAGTTGGTAAGAAGCCCTTGGAGAATGACAGGAGGAGCCCACAGTTAACTGACCTGGGTGGGCTCCCAGGACTGACAGAGGAACAAGGCAGCTCCTACTTTCGTCAGGCTCCAAGAGTGCTCACACACGGCTAAAAATCTCAGGATAGCCCCTGAGAAGTCTAACAAGGACACAGACTCAGGCCTTGCCTGTATCACCATCACCCGGGGACCAGGGGAGCCCCGCCACCAGCCAGTGGGCAGGCTGAGAAGCTGGAGCTATGCAGGAAAAGCTGAGTGTGCCTGCCACTGTTGGTCCTCACCCCAACAAACAGGGAGAACACAGGACTCTCCAGAACCTGAGGTGAGGAAGCACTGGTGAGGCCGGCTCTCCCTCACGGGCCATCAGGGCAGCCCCACCCTCCCCTGGCTTTCAGGACCCAGTTTGGTCCCCGTGGGGTCTGGAATACAATGGCTGTTGAATGAACATAGAAATTAATAGAGCAAGATAGAATTTTCTTAGCGTTACTGATCGTAACCATTCTCATTCTAGAGAATATTTTGAAGAAACTGAAGCAGTATGCTGATTTTACTATTTTAAAATATGTGGTTGAATGACTAGGCTTTGAAACCCTCCTGAGGGTTCCTCAGATCAATAAGAAAGACCTTAGCTTGTCTGGATGCGGGTGACTTGAGTCTGTACATTCTTGCAGATACAACCCACTCAGAACATGGACAAGGCTGGGGGCCACGAGTGAAGGAGCTGAAAGATGTACGGTAGCTATTCAGACTCCTAGAGTCCTTCTGGTCTCAGTTTTAGAGAGCCATGAATTGGGATGTGTCCCACACCTCATCCGTTAAGCTCATGGACCTGCTTATAGAATGACCTTTGAATACATGGCTCTGTAGATGTTCAAACACATGAGCTCTGAGCATCTGGCCACAGTGAGCTTCTTTTGGAAAACATACAGGTTGAGCTGAAAGGAATCTGGTCTGCAAAGGACACTTTGGGACCACAGTATGATTCCCAGAAACATCCTAAAGCCTCTGGCTACATAGCCAGGCTCTAGGTTCAGCCTGGGTCTTGTGACCCTGTGAAAGTTCATTTACCAGAAACTGCAGCATGTCACAGAGCATCGTCATGGGATAGGCTGGGGTGGGGAGCCAGGCTGACATGGGCCTCATGTTCAGAAGAGCAGTCAGGTGAAGCCCCCCTGGCTGGGGGAGCAAAGCCTCAAACTGACACAGTGCTGAGGAGCACTGCCATGTTTAGCAGACTCATACCTCTCCTTTCCGGCAGAACTAATGTTTTAAAAAATAATCACTCCATGAACATCCACCCAAGTGATCTGTAATCCTGACAACCTCGAGTGAGGTAAACATAATCTCTGTTCTACAAACAAGGGAAACTGAGGGGTAGATATGAGGAAGCTGGCCCAAGGTCACACCATGCGGTAAAAGCAGCTATTGGGCTCGGAGTCCAGGCATCTTGACCCCTGAGCCGGGCTGCTGATCTTATACCACATCATTTCTCAAACTTGCAGAACAAAAATTGGTTCCCTCAAACCCCAGGCCAGGCTCTGGGCCCAGCCTGCTCCTGTGGCTCCCCACTAGAGCGCTTCCAAAGGTTATGCTGTTTGAGATATAGGTGAGGCAGGGCCTGGCATAGGCAGCATATGACATGTACACATCTGTGTCCCCAGGCCCGTGGAGAGACTGTCTGCAGGCCCTGGAGGATGGCCACGATACCAGCTCCATTTACCTGGTGAAGCCTGAGAACACTAATCGCCTCATGCAGGTGTGGTGTGACCAGAGGCATGACCCCGGGGGCTGGACAGTCATTCAGAGGCGCCTGGATGGCTCTGTCAACTTCTTCAGGAACTGGGAGACATACAAGGTGAGACCCAGCAGGGCCTGTCTTTGATGTAACTGGTCAACACCGAGCCAAGAAGCACTAGGACAAGGGCATTTTCGTGAACCCATCTGAGTAGTGAAGGCAGGTTCCTTCCCTGCAGCTGAAAGCACGTACTGCAAGACAGCAGCTAAGACTGCGGACCACTAAAGTCTCACGGAATCGGGTGGGGGCTCCCTCGCTGCACCTGGAGAGCGGGCAGCATCTTACTCCCAGCTTAAGTTTCCATGGGGAGACCTGCTCTTGAAGCCCAGAGAGGCATGTTCTGAAGCTCCCAGGCCTTGGGAGACTCCCTCAAAGTGCTCCCATGGGAAATGTAGTAATACCTTGGTCCTAACTGCAGGGCCTATCCTCTGGGCTCCCCAGTTCCCAGGGCACTGCGGGGCTCATTCTTGCAGTAGGAAAGGCTGCCAGGTATCAGTACATATCACTCACTCCTCTGAACACAGATGGCCCTAAGGTGGCCTGGGCAGGTCACTAGGCATCTGCCACATGCCAGAAACCATGCAGGGCTCTTGGCCGTGACCTCACTTAGCTTCACAGCAACCCTTGGGGACAGTACTACTTGTAGGTGAGAAGAGGGAGTCCTTTGCTCATGGCTGCACAGCTGCAGTGTGTCAAGGAAATGACTGCAGCTTAGGCCCCGGACGTCAAAGCCACAAGTCCCCTTAGTTAGCCATGATGCCTTCACACACAGCTGTCGTGCCCCCTTCTTGGTCCCCTTCCTTCCTACTTGCCCCCAGCCCACTTCCTGATCAGCCTGTGTCTCTGCTTGCTTCTCCTCCTCCACCTCCTAACTTGTGGGCTCCTGGAGACTCTTCCACACTCCTCCTCCCTCGTGGAGTGGCACAGCAGAGCACTCAAGATGTGTCTTAGCTTGAGTCCTGGCTTACCCATGCTTTGAATGACCACATCACACACCCTCCTGCACTAGCCTTGTGGGGAAGGTGATGGCGCAGGTGGTGCCTGCCTTAGAGGAGGCACACTCTCCATATGTTTCAGTAACGTGTGATTGAGGCTCAGAAAGGTGAATCAAGTCACACAGCCACTAGGTGAAGGAGGGGGGATGGAGCCAGGCCTACTCATGCTCTTCTTATTTCCCAGGCTGTTCTACTGGGGCCAGTGTCACCAGGACACTGGTCAGGCCACTGCAGGCTCTACACTCACACTCTCCCTGGTCTTTCACAGCAAGGGTTTGGGAACATTGATGGTGAGTACTGGCTGGGCCTGGAGAACATTTACTGGCTGACGAACCAAGGCAACTACAAACTGCTGGTGACCATGGAGGACTGGTCTGGCCGCAAAGTCTTTGCAGAATATGCCAGCTTCCGTGTGGAGCCAGAGAGCGAGTATTACAAGCTGCGGCTGGGGCGCTACCATGGCAATGCAGGTGACTCCTTCACCTGGCACAACGGCAAGCAGTTCACCACCCTCGACAGAGACCATGATGTCTACACAGGTATGAAGAGTGGAGTCTAACCCAGGTTTTGGGTAGTGAAAACAGGTCACCCAAAGCCAGAGCCCCTGATTCCAGGGTATGGGTACAGCAAGGCCCAGGGCAATATGCCAAGCTGCCTGAACCTGTTTCCAGCTTTTGCAGGGCTCTTCCTCTGCCCACTGCCCTCAGATCTCCTTTGCCAAGTGGGGTCACAGTGGCTTTTATAAAAAGGGAAAGACAGAGATGTGTACAAATCACATATACAAGGGCCACCTTGAGCCAACTCAGTCACTCCTGTGCCATACTGTACTCTCCTCACCTCTCTGAGGCACACAGACCAGAGGACTCTAGGCCATATACTCTGAGCTCGGAAGCTATGTCTTCAGCCCACTGCATAATTTCCCTGGGAGTTTCCACATCTGAAAGGAAGAACAATACCTGAGTGCAGCATAGGGAGGAGGTTAGAGAGAAGGTACCTCAAGTGCCTTGTCTAGGACTTGGCATATAGTCAGAGCTCTGTTTACTTACTGCTATTAATATTAATGCTACACTGTAAGGAAGCTATTAAGAGGAAACCAGATAGGACAGATGAATGATTTGTCCAAGATCACAGGCCTCAAACCCATGAGCTTACCAGGAAGTCTTTATCAGATAAAAAACAAGGTAGGACACAGAACATTATGAGGTGCACAAACAGGGCTGCCCCTAAGTACAAACATCAGCCTCACCCAGGTTGATGCCTCCCAAGTCCCACACCAATTTCTTGAGATAGGGCCCTCTGGTGATGGATGCAGACGGTGGTAGTCAGGCCACCTGAAACTGGCACCACCCCCAGGCCAAGGCCGAGTCTGTTCCGCTGGGCACGCCTGACTCCTCCTGCCCAGCCTCTTGTTTAGTCCTAGTCTGAGCAAGTTCCACCACCCACTGTGCAGACTGTCCCAGAAAGGACCTGACACCTATTTACTGAGGTGGGGGTACCTCACTCCAGGTCCCCAAGGCAACTATACTCCCATGCTCCTCTGCACACTTCTCACAACATCAGGGGACAGGTAGGACGTGACCTGCCCAAGCTCATGCCACACAGACATCTCTGTCCACTCACTGACACTGAACTGACCCTGCTGGAAGGGACCTTGTGGAGGAGCAGGCTCTCATTCTGTAGCAGAGGGTCTCTGGTTAGGGCTGCTGAGACTTCTAGGACAGCGGGGCAGGAGGAAGGTGCTCAGTGCTTGTCAGACCCTGGGACAGGATAGGAAGGCAGCGGCTGCTGCAGCACTTCCTGAGTGTCACCCTGGGGAGGAGAGATAGGAGCATTCTGTGACTTAAAACTCTCACATGGGTTCCTGGCCCTGATGTGCAGGGTCAGTGCAGGAGGGGCTTCCCCTGGCAAATGGGACTCTGACTGTGGTGTGCCAAAGGCTCTCCCTGCTCAAAACATGAAGCACTGCCTCTTGGTACTTGTAGCCTTGAGTCATGGCCCAGAAGGAGACCCCCCAACCTCTGGGAAACCTGGGTGCCTGGGGCTGAGGCTCCAGCTTTCTGCTTCAGACTGCCTGTGACCTCCTCACCCCATCCTACAGGCTTGGCTCCATCAAGCACTCTAAGCCCCAAGTGGATGGGGCAGCCCCTCCCTGAGGAAGAGGTCCCCTCCAGGCTTCCCAACGCAGCCCATGTGACCATGGCTCCTCTGCCTCCTTTCGCCTGGGGAGTGATGTCCCTGCATGCCGGCTCACACCTTGCCCACGCATCTCATTGTTCTGAACTGCTTGTCCTTGGCAGCAAGGCTCAGCGTGATGAGATAATGCCAAGAGTTTCATGGAAATAGCCTCCTTTATGAAATAACACAAAAAGTTATTTGGATGGAGTATAGGCTGGGAGGAAAAGAAGGGCATTTCTTCTTAAACACTTCCCTTGTCATTCTATAAAGACTCTTGATCCAATTCTTTCAACTCTTAAAAATGCCTGTGAAGAACTCCTTTCCCTTTCCCCTACGCACCCCAGCCCATGTCCATTTCCTCCAGAGCCTGTGGTGTGGACTGCCCCCGCTGCAGGACTGCTCTGCAGGAGCCTGGGCTCAGAGTTAAGCACTGGCCCTCCTTTAATCCTCACGGTGGGCCTACGGCGTAGGCATTATTTCTGTCCTCTTTTTACAGAAGAGGATGCAGTGTGGAGCGGGGAGAGGTTAAGCCTGTCTGCACTCTCATAGCTAGCTGGTTATAAAACCTAGCCTCAAAGGATGATTTGAGCAGGTCTAAAGCCCAGCTTTGACCTCTGCTGCAGAGGGTCCATCTTTCCAATGTTCTTGCTCTGAAGGCCTCCCAGAGAGGGTCTGGGGGAGACCCTAGCGCTCTGCCAAGAAACCTCTTCACTCTTCTCTCCTGCAGGAAACTGCGCTCACTACCAGAAGGGAGGCTGGTGGTATAATGCCTGTGCCCACTCCAACCTCAACGGGGTCTGGTACCGAGGGGGCCATTACCGAAGCCGCTACCAGGATGGGGTCTACTGGGCTGAGTTCCGAGGAGGATCCTACTCACTCAAGAAAGTGGTGATGATGATCCGGCCCAACCCGAACACCTTCCACTAAGCCTGCTCCCCTACTGACCTTGTGTGGCCATCACCAGGAACCCGCCCCGGCCTTGCAGGCCCAGCACAATGAGCAACTCCTCACCAGTTCTTCTCGGGAGGACTAGAATCCTGGATTCTGTTTTCCCAAGTCACTGTGCCAGATAATGGAATGGAACTCCACAGTGCTCTCTGTCCCTCCTACTTCTCTTCACACCAGAAAGCCCCTCATGCTTCCAGAGCAGGACAGGACTGATGACAACTTTGTTTAAAAAAAATGAAGTCTCTACAATAAAAACACAACTGCAGATTATCTTTACAATATACAGTGCATGAGCCTCCCCTGTGCACTTGCGTGTATACCTCACGTGTACGCACTTAGATACACACCCCTTGTGATATGCCTAGATATACACACGGGTTTGCCATATAACATACTCTAGAGTATGTTATACTCCAGTTATGTACTCTCCTCAATTCTCAGATGTTGAAGCTGTCGCCAACAGCTTTGCTCTTAGGAATAAAACATTTCCTTAGTGCTGTGTGGCTGGAGCTTACAGGTAGATCACAAGCTGTGTAGCACCAAAGACTAATCCTTGGCCTGCTATTGGTGTGCCTGGATTCTTCCAGGAGGGTTTACAAGGCTCATCTCTCACATAGGAGTTCCTCTCTTAAGAACAGGAACAGCTAGTCAAATTTCAAAATCCCCTTACTTCTCCATTTATGTGCCTTTCCCATTCTCAGGACTCTTCGCTGTCCCTCCACCCAGTACACTCATCCAGCACCTCCTGTGCCTCTGCCCCTGGCTGCTCACGGTAGTTTGAGGCACCTCTTCTCTTCCTACCCATGTCTACCTTTTCTGCCACGGAGACCTTCTTTCCAGGCAAGATTCCTCCACCTCTGAGAAGGAAACAGTTCAGACTTGGGTTCTGCCTGGAAAAGGGGAGGTCAGACCAAAAGCTACAGCAGTGACCACACAGACTATGTATTTAGCTTCGTATGCTCCATTCATACTTCAGCTTCTACTTCATTTTAACCTCCACACAAATAGCAGCCTACCTTGCCAGAGACGCTCAGCTGAAGGGAACTTAATGTCAGGGCATAGGGGCCCCATGATGGCTACAGACTGGAGGTCCCACCACAGGCAAATCAGAGCCCGCACCTCATCCATGAACTACACTTTCCCGGAGGACAAGGGCCACACACAGAACTGGCTGCTTCTCAGGAGTTGCTGGATCACCGGGCCTCCAGAACCCTGCTGTTGCTCTGCAGCACGGCAGCTTCCTATGTCCTGTTTGGCTCCACAGTGCCAGGATGACTGCCAAGCCAGGGGCAAGAGATGATTCAGGAGGGTGAGATCCTCCCGGTGGGCACATGGGTCAGGTCTGTGAGGTGTGCGGTGTTTGGTACTGTCCACGTCTAGGTGCAAGCCTGTTACCTCAGCATTTCTCAGAAGTGTACCATGTAGCATGTTTCATGTATATAAAAGGGAGGTTTTTTTTTTTTAATATATTCCCAGATCATCCTTGTAATGACATGAATTTGCAATAAAAGCCATCAGTGCTACGTGGATGTACCTGCACAGTGCGTTGCTGTCTCAGAATGCTTTCCTGGGGCTCCCAGATCAAAGTCTCTTTAAGTAAAACCAGAAGGAGGTTCAGCACAGGGCACACACCCCAACTGTTTAGAGTGCACTCTCTCTCCCCATGTGGCTCCCAAATGCTCCCTCACAAGTCCTTGCTGGTCACCTGTCTTGGGGCCAAGCCCCAAAGTAGAGAGCTCTGAGTCAAACTGGACACTGAAGCAGCCCCAGTGCCTTCCCCTAATCCTCACTCCAGCACTCAAAGCTGAGACTTGTCCAAACAACACACTGACTGTATGGAAAGAGAAGAAAGAGGCTCTCGGAAATGTGGAGCCCATTCTCCCTCCAGTAAGACAAGACGAGGCCAGGTCACTAGGCAGCAGCATGCAACAGGAGCCTGGGAGATGGGAGCTGTGCTCAGGGCCCTGAGCCTGGGAGTCAAGGGGTACTACCTCACCAGAAAACACAACCAGTTAGCATCCTGGGGTCTGATCAGGCCTGATCCACTGCAATCTTTTTTTTTTTTTCCATCCAAGCCAGTGACCTTTTTGTTTGTTTGTTTGTTTTGAGGCAGGGTCTCATTATGTAATGCAGGCTGGCCTTGAACTCTTATGTAGCTTGGGCTGGCCATAAACTCATGGCACTCCCCCTGCCTCAGCCTCCTAAGTGTTGGAATTACACGTGTATACTACCATGCCTGGCCACCTTTTAAGGTATAAAATCATAGAAATTCTACTAATCTTGGGTTCTCTATGGTGGGTACATTTGTTACCCATATGAAAGTCAACAAAGCCTGGACTTTCTTCTGCCCTGGGCTTTGGCCCCATGTCCCAGGTTTGCTTACACCTTGGACATTAATGTTCTCCAAGCAAGTGACAGTGAACACCTTCCCCCAAACCTTGCCAATTTCAGCAAGACTGAAAGATAAATTTTCTCATTGCTGAAAGCCATGGTGAAGGGAGTCGGCCATGCTTAAGAGTCCACAGACACTAGGAGTTCAAGTGGTCTTCCCCAGCCTCCCGGATCATCTCACCTATGTAAGTCTTACTGAGCCTGGTTATAGTAAGAGAACTACAACAACCAGATTACACAAAAAAGGGTACATTTTAAGAGTAGCAGATATAAAAAGATACTTTCTGTCTCAGATTTAGCCTAAAGGCTAAGGACAAAATATTAGACACCAAGGTTTCCACATTCCAGAGCAAAGTAAAGGCCTCTCTGCAAATGAGATGGCTTGAAACTGGCTCTGTAGCATTACCCACCTAAATCTGGGTAAGAAGAGCAGGGGAAAGATCCTAGGGGTGGAAGAGAATGAGTTATCCTTCTAGATCTTCCACCACCACAGGGAGGGTAGGGTCCCCTTCATCTCACATCAAGTGAGAAAGACATCAGAGTACTGATCACTCCAAGTGCGGCACGGGTGAGCATGGGCACCTCTGTTTGCTGTGAACCCCAATCCTAAGGCCCCAGGCCCCAAGCTCCCAAAGTGCGAGATGCTGAAAACTCAAGAGCCAGAAAGCTCACTGGGCAGGTCAGGGAGGCAGAGGGACCAGCTGGGATCTAGTGAAGAAGAGGACCTTGTGCCCACCCTGGCTCCAGGCCTCTAAGGCTGGTCGGGTTTAGGAGTCCAGACTGTCGGGAATCAAGGTGGCGCTGTTAGGAGGGGACTGGGTTTTGTCATGTCTGACACCAGGAAGACTTCACAGCTTTGACTGGGAAAGGGATCATCCACAGAGCAGGCTCAAGAGGACACCGGAGGAAAATAAGATTGGTTTCTTGTTACTCCTGACTGATTCCAGCTCATTTAATAAGCTGGTTACATAAGGACATGAGGTATCTCCCCCTAGTCCATGGGCAGGGATGCAGCCGGACCTCACAAGGGCTAGGAACCAGAAACTACCTGGAACACCTTCAAGAAGCAAGGCAGAATCCTTTCTGGCTCCTCTCCTCTCCTCTTCCTACAGGGTTTTTCTTCTGTTTCTCAGTGTTCATCTATTCTCACTGCCTGTTTCAGCACACAGGACCAGACAGCCGTCCTGGGCTCACTGTCCGTCTGGTCTCAACGGTCCACTTTACATTCCCTGCTAATTCCCAGGCAGAGGATACAATTGGCCAGCCAGGCTGGGTGTCCATGCCATTGGCTTCGCAGCAGAGCCACGTGGAATGAACACTGCTGCTGAGGGTCAATGCTGGGCGAGAAGAAGGGGTAGTTCCCAGGTTCCCAAAGAAGTATGGATTATGGACTGGGTCTCTCTATATAAAAAGGTGTTAAGTTATACTTCAGCTGTCACTGGCCCCCTATCTTCTCTGGGGACCAAACTTTATCAGCTAGATGGTAAAGTTATTACTATTACTCATCTGTTAAGGTCCTATTCCCCAGCAACTCCCCTGCTGACCCCTGCCTTCTCCCAAAAAGTACACACCAACTCATCCAGCCCAGCTGAGTCACTAAACAGGACACCTGGCTACGCCCTGATGGGCCTTTTCCTACCCTTCCTGAGCATGCTGGATTTTCCAACAGTCTCTTTGTATACAGGGGCACCAAGGTCCCTGTGCTGGGGACTCCCTTGCTACATTTTGCTTTGCATAACACTAACGCTATCTACCATGTATTGGGTGCTTTCCATATAACAGGTATCATGCATGTCTCTAAATTCTTACAACAGCCCCCTGAGGTAGGTTCTGTGAGTACCCTTTCAACACAGAAAACAAATGCTCAAAGACATAAGTGACTTTCCCAGGAAATGCAGCCTGAGACACTGGGAATTTAACTTGGTCTGATTCTTTTGTTCCTGCCTCACCACACCCAAGGAGGAGCTGAAACCAGTAGGGCTCACATCTTGCCCAGCATCACTCAGCATTGCATCTGAGAACCATGCTGGTATGCAGCCTCCTGGCCAGAGAGCGGACATCACGCATGTCTGTGCAGAACAGCTGGCTATCAGAAAGCCAGTCCGTGGCTGTTTGCCCAGTGTGCCTCAGCACAATGGGGACAGAATAACAGGGGGCAGGGATGGAGAATATTTCACAGCTTCTGGGGCCTTCTAGCCCTTTGCTAGGGCCAACACTAGTGGCCTTTGCCTCTTTCTTCTTCCTATGGAGCAGAGACCCACTTGTCCTACAACCCACAGGCTCAACGGCCCCTGTCTTTGGCACTCAGTGTCCCACTGGGGGCTGCTCTGGCTGTTGCCTTACGTACCAGTTCTTCCTGGCCCACGCCCTAGTCTATATCGTCAGGTAACTGGGTCATGGGTGTGGTGGCTCATCTCACATTTCCATACCTCTAGGACTGCGGCTTGCCAACCCTAGTCTCGATCCCAGAGTTAGACCAGAGCCAGCCCTTGCCTGGAATTCCATCCCTTGGTCTTGGTGCCACCCATCCCTGGGACATTTAAGTATCCCATCTCTCCTGACCTGGGCATCCTAGGTCAGCTGAGTCCACACATAGGACCCCAGACTTGGATTAAACCTCCCATCTGCACAGCCTCCCAAAGCACTTCCACATGTGGCTCCTCCTGGGCGGGTGGCCGTCTGGCTGTCCCGTGCCCCGTGCACTGATGGTCATGGGCTGCTCTCTTTCCCACGAAAGCTAAGACACATTTCAGAGTTGGCAAAGAGCTCCCTAACCACAGTTGTCTCGAGCTTCAGCAGAGCTGGGTGTGACCCAGGGCCTAGAAGCGCAGCTCTTATGGAGGGAATGATGACAGGGGCCTACACCCCAATCATCTCAACAGGGGAAAGGATCAGAAGAAGCACTCAGCCTCTTTGAAGCCCGGAACACTGAGCAGGTCCCAGACACAAGTGCTGGATGTGGGCTTTAGGTAACCTCTTCTACCCAGGAAACCAAAGCTAGACAGCTTTTCCTCATGGATCCGGACAGTGAATGCTGTTCTGGGGACACAGGGAGAGGGATTAGGACTGATATTCAGGAAGCAGAGATGGAGGCAGAGGGTGTCTGTCAGTTGGGTAGGAGGCCTAATCCATCACCTGTCACTTGAGTATAAATAAAAGATGACTGGCAATATCTGGCATGGGGAGAATGAAAAAATAGCCAGGCCCACACTGTGGGTGGAAGGCAGGGGCCGCTTTCTCAGCAGCTTCCCAGCAGTGGTAGCCATAGGAAAATCACAAATGGTCTGCCCCAGCAGCTCCAAACCTAGCCCCTAGCGTGCCTGTTTCAGAATGGTGATGGGTGAATATATTCACAGGTGGAAAGATGTTTCCCACCGTGCCATCCGTAAAAGGGAGAAACCACCTCAGTGATTATCAGTTAGGCCACGACTATATAGATCAACATGTACCCAGCAATACCCAGCAAATCACCCAGGCCTCTGCGAGTGCCACAGAAAGAAAGAGGGAGACCCACATTTGCTGCCACAGAGCAGGATCTGTGACATCTTCAGTTGGAAAGAAAGTAAGATGCAAAACAGTATGTATAAAATGCCCCCACTGTGGTTAAAAAGCACAGTATTGTTCCTTCTCCCAAACAGGGCACACCGCTTGTAGATGTGGATCAGAATGTCTGGAAGGGCGCTTGTGTGGCAGCTAGCAGCTGGTGCCTCTGGGCAGGTGCAGAAGAAGAATATGATTTTTGCTTTTTACTTATAGACTATTTTTTAGTGTGAATGATCTTTATAACAAACAATGTGTTACACTGGTAATTTTAAAAATCTGTTTAAAGAACGAGTGGGTACCTAATGCCATTCGTGCGTATGGCCTTTCTGGGTGTAACATGGACTAGACTCTTGTTTCCCTTGAAAAGGAGTTGGGGGCCTTGCAGACCAACACACACGGGAGCCAAGGCCCAGGATGCACTCAGGGAGCCACAGCTGCTCTGAGGATGGCCTTCCAGGCCCTGGCCAGTCACCCCCAAGCCCCTGTTCCTTACAGAGCTGCAGGAGCTCATTGCCTCTCAAAGTGGCAACCACTTCCTCAACCTATGGTTTCCCTCCTCAAAATTAGCTTTTGAGCGGGGCCTCATGTTTTCTGCTGCTTTTGGG